CCAGGGACACCATTTCTATCCCCTGGCTAATAGCACTCCATGGACCCAGTCTCCATGAATTTATCTAACTTCTCTTTAAACTCTGTTATAGTTCTAGCCTTCACAGCCTCCTGCAGCAAGGAGTTCCACAGGTTGACTATTTGCTTCGTGAAGAAGAACTTTCTGTTATTAGTTTGAAGCCTGCTACCCATTCATTTCCTTTGGTGTCCTCTAGTCCTTCTTTATGGGAACTAATGAAGAAATTTTCTTTATGCACCCTCTCCACACCACTCGTGCTTTTATAGACCTCTATTATATCCCCCCTCAGTCTCCTCTTTTCTAAGCTGAGAAGTCCCAGTCTCTTTAGCCTCTCTTCATATGGGACCTGTTCCAAACCCCTGATCATTTTAGTTGCCCTCTCCTCTTCCACCCTCTCTCTTCCTCTCTCCCACCTCCCTTTCCCAGTCTCCCTAGAGGTTAATTCTCCTCCCCCCCCCCCAGTTTTGTTAAATAAAGAGAGTTTCTATTTTTGAACACACATGTCCTTTATTTTTTATATCAGGAAGGGGGGCTAGGGAGGAGTGAGTGGAAGGAGGTGAGAGAGGAATGGGGGAGGAATGTCCTGCAGACCCCCGATTGACCTACTGGATGGCAGCCTGCGGCAAGTGCAGCCGGTCTGATGGCCGAGTGCTGTGATGTGCCGAGTGTGGGCATTCAGGGCACTCCAAGCCAGGACTGCTTTGCTGTCCCTCATCGAGTTAGACACGCGAGCAGGGAACACCTGAGAACTGTCTGTCCAGGGTGGGGGTCGGGTCCCTTTAAGCACAGCCCTCGGCTAGCCTGAGACAGCAGCTCCATGCTCTAAGTCCTAATCTGATGCCATGCCGGCACTGCTTCCGGCCATCCTTAACCTCGGTTTAGGGTCCACTCAATGTGGACATGCTAGTTCAAATTAGCAAAACACTAATTCGAACTAGATTTTACATCTAGATGCACTAGTTCGAATTAGCTTAGTTCGAATTAGCTAATTCGAATTAAGTTACTTCGAATTAGTGGTGTAGTGTAGACATACCCTCAGGTACCATAGGACTCCTCATTGTTTTTTTCAGATACAGAGTAACACAGCTACCTTTCTGAGAATTATATGTGTTATTTTTGCTTCGTTTAAAATCAAAGACACTAAGTCAAATTTCATTTTCATTATTTTTAAATAATAAAATAAAAATGAAATATTGCTACAATAAAAGCTGAATATTTAACTCCAAAACAGCTAAAAACATTCTACAGGATGAAATTCTATAATCTGTACTTCTGTACTCCAGTAACACCCCTACTCTAATATCGTAGGTGGCCCAGTGGTTGCTGGAACAATGGCATCCTGGGGTCAAGCGATCAGGAGTGTAAGGGCTGGCATTGACCTCCCTGGTCTAGTAAATTCCATGGTTTGGGTGCTGTATCAGGGAGGTTCAACATTTACAGACTGTTGGTCAGTCTATCAATAACATTCTTTCTATCAATAATATAACTTTCAAGAATACAGAAGATCCATGATTTACATAAGAACATGACTTCCATTCATTATTACTTTACTTTCTATTTTATTCAGAATGATATTACCATATAAAACATATTACTCAAACTTGACTTCTCAAAATTTCATATATAGGGGTAAAATTTTTAAACTCGCCTAAGTGACTTGAGAACTAAAGTCCCAATTCCTAAAATGACTTAGGGCCAGAATGCTACCCAATGATGCAGACTTCCAGGAATTCTATCCACTTTAGGGTGCATAGTATAGACATAGCCATTGAAATAAACGGGAGTTAGATGACGAGGCACATACGAAAATCCCATCCGTCTGTAACTTTAAGCACCTAAATACTTTTTAAAAGCTGTTCCTTAAATTTCCTAAGCCCTAATAAGTAAGACTTAGATCCTAAGTCATTCTGCTGCTTTTTAAGATTTTACGGTTAGACAATTATTTTCAAGAAAGACACTGGGAAATGGATGCTCAACAGCCCTGAAAATTAAGCTCTTAATTAGCTGCCTAAATTCAGATATCATTTTTCACATTTTTTGCTCCTATTGATCAGAAATACCATACTTACCATCATTCCGCAATGTAAGAGGTGTAGGAGGACTCAGAACTCTGGCATTTGTCACTGTGTTTTTTACTAGACAGATATAGCTGCCAACATCAGATGTTTGCACCTTGGAGATGTACAGATTTCCTGTCTCCTGGGAGATGAAGCGTCGGCTATCTTCTGCCACAAAAGATGGGAATTCATTGAACACCCAACTGTAGATGATCTCTGGAAAAGCATAGAAATAAAGCATTGGTTATGAAAAAATTCAGTGTGTGCTAGGAATGAACAAATTCACAATGTGTTTATATGTTTGTTTTGTATAATTCCAAAAAGTTTTTTTTAAAGTTCTGGCTTAGGAAATGACATCAAAGATGGCCAATAATTTGACTGGAGTCCCTTGTGAGATGTTTTCAGTTCACAGAGAAAAAAACATTAAATTCCTCAACAGGTTCCACAAAAATTAAGAAAAAAAATCACATTGGTCCCAGTCTTCATCCTCTTACATTTAGGGCTGGCTGAACTTTTTTCATACAAATTGTTTTTTGACTAAACTAATTTTTTATATGAAAAATGTCTGCTTTTCAGGAGAACTTTCAATTTTGAATTAAAAAGAAAAAAAACACAATTGGAAATATTTTGACTTAAAAAAATAAAATATTTCAATTTGAATATGTTACCTAATTGCCTCATAGGAGACATAATTTGGTCATCTCATGTCCCAGTTCTCTGTATTTGGGACTTTCTGGCTGGAACAAAACTCCCATAGTACACTATGGCCAGGGATGCCCTTGATGCACAGCCTTCCCTCTCCAAGACAAGTGACCACTATGCATCTTGGGAGGGGTATTCTGTCTCTAGATCCCAGCCTATAGAGAATGACGAACATAAACTTTATATCTATGAGGCATTGAAGCAGCATTTCCAAATCAAATTATTTCTTGGGTAATTTTTGTTCTTGCTTTAATTTTCATTAAAAAAATCAACATTTTCTATATACTTTTCCAACTAGAGCTGCATCAAATTTTTTAGAAGCCTGGTCCATGTTATAGAAATATATTAATAGATATGCATAATAATACAAAATAGGCTCTCTGCACTGTATTTACTATTGTCGGATGAATGCATCATGCAATTGGACTCAAACCCTCTGAAACCTCAGGCTACCCCTGGACAGACTTTCCTCTCCCTTAAAAACCTTGCTCCCAGGACTCTGGATTGACTTTACATTCCTCCCACACGTGAGTAACCTTCTCATAACTGCAACATCATGAATACTTTACTCCTAATGACATTATGGTACACCAGTATCCTGCAGAAACCCACTGCAGGTGCCCTCAAGTGCAACCTACACTTTCACATGTTCTTTTGACTTTGTTTTACTGAGGAATCTGGGGAATCTTCCAACATGAGCCTCAAATCCCCTGGAGTAAAAAATCCTGCCTTATTCTGGCCCTATATAATTTGGTTCCTGGCAAAACCCAGCAGCACAGAGGTCTCTGAAAATGACAAAGAAAAGGTGTTAATCAAATTTTAAGGGTGAGGTTCTTAATCTTCTTATCCATTCCAAGAAAATATATGATTTTTCCTTTAGATACCAAATAATCACTTGTAGGGGAAAAATACAAGTTTTTCAGGAAGAATTTTTTAGGATTGCCATCCATCCAGGATGGTTTTGGTGTACATCTACACTGTGAAGCTATTTCAGGATAATGGAAGTATCCCGAAATAGCTATTCCGAATTTATTGCAGCAGCCCGTTATTTCAAAATAGATTTTGAAATGAGTAGCTTATTATGACATCCCAGTAACCCTTATGCGATGAGGGTTAAAGGACATTTCAGAATAGCGAGTTATTTTGAAATTTGGCACTATTTAAATAAGCTATTTTGAAATAGCATCAAAATAAGCTACGCAATTTGCATAGCACAAATTGAGTAGCTTATTTTAAGATAAGGGTGCTGTGTAGATGCACTCTTGAGGTATGTCTACACGACAAAGTTAGTTCGAACTAACGGACGTTAGTTCGAACTAACTTTAATAGGTGCTACACTAGCGCTCCGCTTAGTTCGAACTAGGAAAACCACAATTTACGAGGATTCTGCCTAGTTCGAACTAGCTAGTTCAAATTAAGGGGTATGTAGCCCCATAATTCGAACTAGTGGGAGGCTAGCCCTCCCCAGGTTTCCCTGGTGGCCACTCTGGCCAACACCAGGGAAACTCGTCTGCCCCCCCTCCCGGCCCCGGCCCCCTTAAAGGGGCACGGGCTGGCTACGGGGCCCGTGCCAGGTGCAAGCCTGCCAGCACCCAGCCAGCAGACCCTGCACCTGGCACGGATCAAGCCACCCGATGGCCCTCAACACTCCCCCTCTTCCCGGGACCAGGCTGGCGGCTCCCGGGAGCTTGCCCGGGACCGCAAGAGGCGGGCACCCGCCTGGGCTAGTGCGGACATCGTAGACCTCGTCCACGACCTCCGCACTAGGCACAGGAAAGTGGCCGGCTAGGGCAGGAGAGCTGCCAGCCTGATCTAGCCCAGTGGCCTGCCTTCTGACAGCGGCCAACCCTAGGGACCCTGGAGGGGATGGACCGAAGACTGTGACCAAGCCATTTGTCTCGTGCCATCCCTCTCCAGCCTTGCACAAACTTTGGGCAGGGACACCACTCCTACCCTCTGGCTAATAGGACTCCATGGACCCAACCTCCATGACTTGATCTCACTTCCCTTTAAACTCTGTTCTAGTTGTAGCCTTCACAGCCTCCTGCAGCAAGGAGTTCCACAGGTTGACTCTTTGCTTTGTGAAGAAGAACTTTCTGTTGTTAGTTTGAAGCCTGCTACCCATTCCTTTCCTTTGGTGTCCTCTAGTCCTTCTTTATGGGAACTAATGAAGAACTTTTCTGTATGCACCCTCTCCACCCCACTCATGCTTTTATAGACCTCTATCCTGTCCCCCCTCCATCTTCTCTTTTCTAAGCTGAAAAGTCCCAGTCTCTTTAGCCTCTCTTCATATGGGACCTGTTCCCAACCCCTGATCATTTTAGTTGCCCTCCCCTCTCCCAGCCTCTCTCTTCCCCTCTCCCACCTCCTTTTCCCAGTCTCCCCCAGTTTTGTTCAATAAAGACAAATTCAATTTTTGAACACAATTGTCCTTTATTTTGTACATCAAGAAGAGGGGCTAGGGAAGGGTAAGTGGAAGGAGGTGAGGGAGGAATGGGGTACGCGCCCCCGATGGGGAGGACTGGGCTGGCTCTTCAGGCTTCTGGGGGTGGAAGCTCTCCTGCAGCCCCCCAATTGCCTCCTTTCCCAGATGGCAGCCTGCGGCAAGAGTAGCCGGTCTGATGGCCGAGTGCTGTGATGTGCCCAATGTGGGTACTCCGGGCAACCAAGCCAGGACTGCTTTGCAAGCGGGGCACCCCTGAGAACTGTCTGTCCAGGGTGGGGGTCGGGACCCTTTAAGCACAGCCCTCGGCTAGCCTGAGACAGCAGCTCCATGCTCTAAGTACTCCTCTGATGCCCTGCCCGCACTGCTTCCGGCCATCTTTAAGCCTGGTTCAGGGTCCACTTAATGTGGACATTCTAGTTCGAATTAGCAAAACGCTAATTCAAACTAGTTTTTTAGTCTGGATCCGTTAGTTCGAATTAGCTTAGTTCGAATTAACTAATTCGAACTAAGTTAGTTCTAATTAATGTTGTAGTGTAGACGTACCCTTGGAGTTTCCTGGATTCAACAATTATTCTTTAATAAAATATGTTATATAATGAAATCTCCAGGGATCTGTCCAACCAAAAAACTGGTAACTGTAGAATATTTATAGATATATATTTTAGTGTTTCCGGGAATCCATCTGTGAAAATTTACAAATTTTGGCAGATACTTGGGAGTGTGTGCGTATCTGGGTCAGACTGCAACTTTTTGAAGGTGAAGCCTTTATCGGGCTCTTGTCTTTTGCCACCATTTAAAACTAAAACCCATGGCTAGCAAAATGCTAACTGTGCTAACACAAGTGTAATTAAACACTGAGGATCATCCATTCAAACATAGCACATTTGGACAAAAAGATATCAACTTGGCTCGGCAAACCTGTTTTCCAAGTCTGAACTCTGGGGTGGGGAAAAACAACAGGTCAGTGTTGTGTGGAGTAATGTGATTGTTTCATCAAAGAGTCACATGTCAAGGGGAAATTCAGTGGGACTCCCCCAGACAAAGGAGGCTTGGGCAAGAGAGAGGAGCAGAAGCCATGCTATTGGAGCAAAGGGGTCCTTTATAATAGCAAGAGCAGACTCCCTGTAGAGGGGAAGAGAGAGAGAGAGAGAGAGAGAGAGAGAAAGAGAGAGAGAGAAGCACCTTGTATATTTACTTCCACTATCATCTGTCTCTGAAGAGAGGAAGTATAAATCCGCAGCACTCAAAGGGTTGGAGCTCTGGGAGACGGTTAAGACACAGGACAGTCTGTGGGTCAGCACTCATTTAGTCATTTACTGGAGTTGGGGTTTATAAAAAGAGAAAACAGACAGAGTACCTCTGCCAGGAAATGTGCTAGGCAGGCCACAGAAAGAGACAGTGCTGCAGATTATTCAGACCAAGCAAAGCTTAAAATAACACAGGCCCAGTGTGTGACACCAAAACATAGCAGCTGAGTGAGTGTTCCACTAGCGTTTTTACAGACCTTTCTTTTTCTTTTCTCTCTCTCTCTTTCACACACACACCACAAACTATCTCTCTAAATAATAGGAGTCCTGAAATAATAGGAGTCACTCATTTTCTTCCACATTTGCCTTTGGATTCTGCCAACTCTGACTTAGAAGACATAAATCTTCTCTATTTTTATCCATAATATTTCATTCCTCTGTTCCATTATATCATCCTCTCTTTCCACCCCTTTGATTATTTTTCCTGCTTTCTTCTTTCACTACATTCCTTAATCTTCTGCATGACAAACTTGTCAGGATTGACTCTAAATACAGAAATGTCAAGGCTAGCTCAGTAATATAAAGTCACTGCCTCTGCTCCAAGATATAAACTGCTTCATTGGTATAGTGAGTTCCAGGCTTTCAGCCACAAATTGCCTGAGGAAAGTATGAAGTCAATAATCACACATGTATTAGTCTAGTCTTTGTACAGGTCTTTTCCACTGTGCTAAAAATATCTCATTGCCCATGAATATATTAAGGAAGCTGGAGAACAGATGGGTCAAAAGATCTCCACAATTTCTAAAGATCGACATTTACTT